TTTTACATTCAAGATATCCTTTTCAAGCACTGAAATTTATAAATCAAAATAGTTATTAATTTTGTCAGTTTACTAAATGATACAATGATTCTCTTTTCTGTGTTCTAGAGCCAGTTTTTGTAAGGGGATAGTAAAACAAATCTGTTCAATATGGCATAGAGTTGGTAATGTTATAAGCTGCGATTTAAATGCCAAAGTTAGCAAAATATTGGAAAAAACCTTTAGGCCTAAGAATTATTTTTTTTAAAACCAGTTAACTGTAGATATGTTTTCTTTCCTCTTACTTTTCTACTGTGGCTTGAAACTAGAGATGTTTAAATATAGCATTTCAGATCTATTATTTGTTTCCCACAAGTCACTACTCAGTAAGCTTTCCATTCAGTACTAGAACTCATCAGTTGGGCTGGATGATGAGACAAAAAGATCATATAAAATACTCTTTATATTTGTAGTACAATTCTTGAAAAGTTATGGTTTAATACACACACATTTGATTTTGAGTTGCAATGGACAAACTAAGAGGGATGTTGGGGAAAAAATCTTCAGTTAACTGATTTTTTATAACAACTCTTAGACCTATGAGTTTTTCAATAATTCATCAGCTTTCAACATTTAAACTGTAATTGTTATTGTGAAAATGCAATAGTACATAACCTGGCATTATACCTTGCATCACACACAGTGAAAGTGTAAAACTGGAGTTTTAACATCCCTGGCATCTGAGTCAAGTCAGTGACAACTCATGTTGGTACTTGTGTCATCATAATCATAACTGAAGTCATTATTAATTGTAAATTGGGAAAAACATTAGAGAAATCATCTAGTTTTGAGTAATTTATTCATTATACTATAAAGAAATTAAAATTAAAATAATTCAACTTTTCCAAAACAAATTCCTGTAATATTTTGGAAATTTGCCTCAAATATCTGAAAATGCGTGCGAGGAAAAGTTAGAAAATATATGATTTTTTTCCTTTTTTCTATTTTCGAATCATTGTTTTTTGTTGTTAAGCACACAGCTGCATGATGGGCTATCAGTGCTGTGCCCAACATAGGAATCAAACCTTAAATTTTAGCATTCATGCTCATGAGTGCCTCCAGGAAGGGGCAAAAGAGGGCATTGCCCCCTTACATTTCACAAAAAATTGCACGTATTATGATGTAAACTTAACATCATAGTTAAACTAAATATTTTAGTAATTTTTATCAAAAGTATAAATTTGTGTTTGCGTTTAAGCACATGTAACATATATTCTTTTAGTCTGTTGACGTACACTGTAAAAGATGACCTCCTACATACGTGTTTTGCCCACCCCCCCCAGGAAATATTTCTGTGGGCATCCGTGTTCGATCTTACCAGTTGAGCGACCACGAATCTTTTCAAATCATATTACTTTCTTTATTAAAACAAAATCATACCATCAGTTACCAGTAGTTGTAAAGGTCCCTATAAATAAGTTACTACCTAAAATCAAACTTACACCTTTACCGGGTTAAAGATTATAAATCAAATAAAAGAACCTGTAAATTAATTGTTGACCTATGGGTGAACTTCTTTACTGAACAATTTTCAATTTTTCTTTCAATGTTCCAAAGTCATGCACCAAGGCTTATGAATACATGGGTTTCATCATGGAAAAGGAACAGAGCTACAAAGATGCTTCTCAACATTACGAAGTGGCTTGGAAACAGAGTAATAAGGCAAACCCTGTCATTGGTAAGTTGGGAAAGTAAATCTTACACAATTATTCCCATGAAAACATTTAAAAATTATTATGTACTAATATCAGTATAAGAACCTAATACTAGGTCTTTTCCCTCTCGAACAATGTATTTGATGTGAACCTACTTATAAGTAGTATTTTACTTAATGTAAAATTTCTAATCGTGTTCAGTGACTCGAAAAACAAATTTTGAGTTGGAATTTTAATCAGAATTGTTTTTGATTTTGTTGTGCGAGACAAGATATCTTCAGAATTTAGGAACATATTTGCACCAATTTTTTTTCTTCATTACATTAGGTTGTTCAATAAATCTACATACATGCTAGATACAGTAAACTTCTTTTTTTTAAGGCTACAAGCTTGCATTTAACTACATGAAGGCAAAACGTTACGTGGATGCTATCGAAATCAGCCATGCTGTAAGTACATGTATTCATATACTGACTGTGACATTACGTAAATGTCTTTTTTTCTTGCTAAACTTGCGTATAACTATTTCTTCTATGTTTAATACAATGTTACTGATATTAAAAAGACAAGGTGAACAACCAGCTGGCGTAGCTTTGTTTCCCAATTATATTCAGCTTCACGCAACAATTTAATTTTAATGTATTTTTACCAGTTTACTAAAAAATAGTGGAGAAATTTTATGTGGGTTATTTTTTTACCATTATAAGTTAACTGAAATTAGAAATTAATGGTACATAAACTATACATGTTTTAGGACCAATATGTAGTTTTTTTAGGGGTGTGTGCTTATGAACCTTTATGGTGACGTATAACTTTACACATAAGGATATTTAATCCCATTTAAAATCTCTGAACGTTACACGTTTTTTATTGTTGTTTTTTTACAAGAATTGCTATTGACATTTGACTACAAGCATTTTGATTCAATGAAATGTGTAAATTAACATAAAAAAATCTTAAATGGGTACCACAGTATTTATATTGATCTAATTAATGTGCTACATGAAAATGTGTGAAAAAATTAAGGCAGGAGAATTTGTTTTTAATATCAATTTCTGTATAATTATAATGACCACAAGATATAGTCAGACCAAAAGTCATTGTTAAGCTTATCTTACTTATGTTCTTTAGTTGATTTTCCAGTTTAGCAGGGCTTTTTTTTTACACATGTTTATTCGCCTATACAAAACTAAATCATATTTGGTAAATTTACAAAGTGGACCTCATCAGAAATGTTATTACAGTTGCTCAAGAACCTTTATTTCCTGCCTGGTTGTCCTTAGGTGGCTAAAGCATGTGCAGTGTTTAGTCATGTAAAGTGAGCTCATGCTATATGATAAACACAATCTGCCAATGGCATATACAGGCCTGGCCTGCTTGTCATCCCCCTCCCCCAATTTTGAAAATAAAATCGCAATAATTGCAAAAATTGGATCTTTGAGGAGGAAAGAATGTAGCGAAATTTCATATTAAATTCAAAAAATAAGTTAAAAAGCAATAACAACAACATCTATCAAACAGTATAACAAATGTAATTGGCCCATTTAACCCCCTACCAGGGAAGTCCCGAAAATTCCTTGTTTACATTCAGAATCATCACGCCTCCCTGTTTTCAAAATCCTGGATCCGCCACTGTCTGCTGTGTTGTTTATAAAATATCCTGACGCATTATTGACATAATGCAAAGTAGAATAGTAATTTATTCTACTAAATCTGCTCTTTATGGAATTAATAATTAATAAATTTTGTATAGTTTGTTATCAAAAAAGAAAAATGAATTCATAGTCAAGAGTTCTTAAGTTGTAATATATTACTCACTGTGATGACTTGACCAGTAATAATGAGCTAGTTAACAGAAAAAAACCGGGTTAAGCACTCTTAGTTTGTTTATTTTTGTCCAACCCGCTTTATCTTTAATAAATGTGTTGCTTTATCCTATTTCTATTTCCATTTTATAAATACAAGTGAGCTTTTGTTTTAATTTGAATCCACAGTTATTTCCTTAATGAGTTTTTATTACTGTATGTTTGTTTACCTAACCAACATTTTATAAACACAATAAGCCAAATGACCATGATGGAGACACCCCTGTGGTTAAGGCATAGCCAGGCAGCCGTTCAGCAGCACCCACCACCTGAAGTGCGTACTTGTTAATGATTAGAGTGATTGACTGTTACTCTCATAGAATAATCACAGCTGAAAGTACAAAGCATGTTTGGTAGCACCAAATCTCAAACCCGAGACCATTGAATTCCCAGTCCTATACGTTAAACACTAAGCCATGTTCAGGTCTTGCTATTTTCAAAATGAATTGAAAAGTTCTGAGAAGCCTTAAACTGACTCAAGGCAGTAATTTTTTCACAGTTGATCCAAATTTGTTTTGTTTTGTTATAAAAAGAATATATATGTCTTACAGTGTAGTTTTATTTATTTTACAAGTAAATAAAAAGAAATGCCATGTAACAATCCCACATTATGGCATAAATTGTTTACATGAAAAGATTGTATTAATTCATATTGATTCTAACCAGTAGTGTGTTTCCTTTTTGCAGGTTCTGGCTAAGTTCCCCAACTATCCTAAGATTCGAAAAGATATACTAGAAAAATCCCGATCAAACTTACGAGCTTAAAATACTGAAAATTATTGTGATGTAAAAAGACTCAAATTCCTCAACGGATTCCGTCCTGTGTATGAAGTTATTATATTGTAAAAATCATTTATAAATGTGTAAGTCAATGTTCTATTATAATTAAGGATTGTCTATGGTGCAATCTTTTCAACCTTTAAAATTATGGAGATTGTTTTATTGTAGTTTTTTTTTTCCACCTAAATCTCTGTAACTATGAAACATGATCTAATATGTGATAAATGAGTTTAGCACTGTTTGATACTGTAATATGACAAAAAGTACACTAGTAAGGTTTATAATTTCTTTTAACTTTCAAAATATACATACTCGGTTTTATGAATGGCATTGACTGCAAATTATTATAAGTTAAACAGATAGAACTGTCACTGATTGAAGGAGTCATAAGACCAGGTGAAATGGCTTTAAACTTCACATTAAAAGTTTTGCTTTTTATTTTCTCCCATGGCAACAATTGAGTCACCTTCGTTTTATAGCTAGTTCAGTCACCTGGAAAACAGTATCATTACATAGTCGGTTTACAAACTCCCGACATAAACCAATCAAATCACCATGGCAACAATTGAATCACCTTCATTTTATAGCTAGTTCAGTCACCTGGAAAACAGTATCATTACATAGTTGGTTTACAAACTCCCGACATAAACCGATCAAATCACCATGGCAACAATTTAGTCACCTTCGTTTTATAGCTAGTTCAGTCACCTGGAAAACAGTATCATTACATAGTTGGTTTACAAACTCCCAACATAAACCAATCAAATCACCAAGACACTAAACACTTATCCATATTCTCCCAACTTGTCATGCATAATGTAGGCATAAGCCAATCAGCATGCTCAATCCAATCTCCCCAATAGGATTGTGTCAGTATCAAAGCAAAGAAAAGCCCCCCAGTGGCACAGCGGTATGTCTGCAGAC